AAAAAATTAAAAAAAAACTTTAGAGTACAGTTGCTACTACAGTGAGAATCTCAAACTTTATAATGAAAATTATTGCAGCCTTTCTTAAGATCACCATTTTTTTATTTTTTCATTCCTTTTCCTATTTTTCTTTTTTCCTCCTTTATTTGTTGTATTTAAACTTTAGGAAGAAAGTTTAATGCTGAACATTAATGACTAAACAATGTAGGAAAATGAAAATAAAGGACCCCAAATATCGACAGAATTTAAGCTGACTGGCAGGCAGAGGGAAAGGCAGTGGCCCCTCAGCCATGGAAATTTGCAACCTTCTTTTTTCATTCTGTTGCTGTTGTTAAATTATACCTGCTAAAGTAAGAGTCACATAGTTTAGAATAATAAGTAAAAAACTGAATAACTCATTAATCAGAAATAACTATTGTTAATGTTAGATGAATGTCATTCCAGATATCTCTACACACATAACTCCCATAGAGAGAGAGAGAGAACTTTTTAAAAAAGGATCATCATGCTAGTTTTAATTCTTTCAGTTTAAATTTGCTTGAATTTAACAGAAATAAGGGAAGCAGAATAAATCACTAAACCTCAGGGGAAAAAAAGCTGCTTCAAGAAATATTAGTTTTTAAAAGGTTCCTATTTGGCTGGGCGTGGTGGCTCACGCCTGTAATCCTAGCACTCTGGAAGGCCAAGGTGGGTGGATTGCTCAAGGTCAGGAATTCGAAACCAGCCTGAGCGAGACCCCGTCTCTACTAAAAATAGAAAGAAACTAATTGACCAACTAAAAAATATATATATAGAAAAAATTAGCTGGGCATGGTGGCGCATGCCTGTAGTCCCAGCTACTCGGGAGGCTGAGGCAGTAGGACTGCTTGAGCCCAGGAGTCTGAGGTTGCTGTGAGCTAGGCTGACACCATGGCACTCACTCTAGCCTGAGCAACAAAGTGAGACTCTGTCTCAAAAAAAAATAAAAATAAAAATAAAAGGTTCCTATAAAGTTAAGGAAAAAGAGATTTTGATAAATACTAATTGTTGTACATAAGGAATTCAATTTTAAACTATTAATTGGCCTGCTGTCAATGATGCTGAAATTGGCACTTCATACTTCTACCTCTTGATTAGTTCATTACATTTGCATTCTTTGTTTGTTTGTTTTTGAGACAGAGTCTCACTCTGTCACCTGGCTAGAGTGCAGTGGAATCCTCATAGTTCACTGCAACCTCAAACTCCTGGGCTCAAGCAATCTTCCTGACTCAGCTTCCCAGACAGCTGGGACTATAGGAGTGTACCACCACACCTGGCTCATTTTTCTATTTTTTAGTAGAGACAGGGTCTTGCTCTTTCTCAGACAGGTCTGGAACTCCTGAGCTCAAGCAATCCTCCTGCCAAGGCCTCCCAGAGTATTAGGATTGCAGGCATGAGCCACCTTACCCAGCCGATATTTGCATTCTTAAGGTTTTATAAAGTCAGTGTTCAGGTTAAACAGCTGATTAGGCTGGGCGCGGTGGCTCACGCCTGTAATCCTAACACTCTGGGAGGCCAAGGCGGGCGGATGGTTTGAGTTCAGGAGTTCGAAACCAACCTGAGCAAGAAAGAGACTATGTGTCTACTATAAATAGAAAGAAATTAATTGGCCAACTAATATATATAGAAAAAAAAATTAGCCAGGCATGGTGGCACATGCCTGTAGTCCCAGCTACTTGGGAGGCTGAGGCAGGAGGATTGCTTGAGCCCAGGAGTTTGAGGTTGCTGTGAGCTAGGCTGACGCCATGACATTCACTCTAGCCTGGGCAACAAAGTGAGACTCTGTCTCAACAAAAAACAAAAACAGCTGATTAGACACAGTGCAAGAGAGAAGCAGTGAAATAGAAGATACCTATGAAGAAATTACCCAGAATGTAGTACAGATGGTAAAAATCTAGAGAATATGAGAAAAGATATTAGAATGGTCTGACATACATAATGTCCAATAGAGGTTCCTGAAAGAAAGATAAAACTGGGAAGGCGTCATTGATGGACTAAACATTTGTGTCACCCCAAAATTCATATGAAATCCTAATTTCTAATGTGATGATATTAGGGATTGAGGCCTTTATGAGATAATTAGGTCATGAAGGTGGAACTAATTTCATGAATGAGATTAATGCCCCTATAAAAGAGACTCCAGCAAACTCTTTCAATCTCCTGTTTGCTATATAAGAATACAATGAGAAGTAGACAGTCTGCAACCCAGAAGAGGGCCTTTACCAGAACCCACCCAGGCTGGTACCCTGATCTCAGACTTCCAGCCTCTAGTACTGTGAGAAATAAATAATGTTTAAACCATCTAGGCTGTGGTAATTTGCTATAGTAGCCCAAACTGACTAAGACAGGGTCACATTCGAAGGTACTATCTGAAACTATTTCTGTATCATTGAAAGACATGAATTCTCAGATTTAGGTAGCACACACATCCTAAATAAGATAAATAAAACAAATTTTGTAGGAACAGGTTATGTTCTTTTGAGATACAGATTCAATTCTACAGCAGTGTGCAGCCCTAGAAAACATTTACTCTGCATCCTCTTCTAAAATTTGTCAAATATCCCTATCAGAAAGAAGGAAAAAGGAGGAGTGGAGGTGGAGACACCTCGTGAATGGCACAGGTTCACATTCAGTAGGGATGCAGTGTGCCAGGTGACTTAATGACCAGAAAATGAGAGTAGAATATAGTAGTGTATGCCCTTGAATAGCACCAAACGTACAAGCACTTATCAGAGAGGGTTTTGACCATCTTTGGGCCCCAACTACTTAGGGACTGTGATGAAAGGAACATACTTTAACACATTTTCAGTAAGGAATACTTCTTTCAACCATCCCAAGCTTATTGACTCCAGGTTAAGAAACTCTAGTTTACTATTTGCTAGAAACTTTATCTCACTAATTCTCACAATTCTCCCAAATTACAGATGAGGAAGCTGAGGCTCAAAGATGCTTAAAATTAAAGAATATCATAGAACTAGTAAGTAGCAGAGCTCTATGACTCAAAAGTCTGAAATTTTAGCCATCATCAATGTTTCCCAAAGCACAGACCAAATAGACCAAATATCTCCTGTATTAGAATCATCTAATATTGTTTCTAAAACTGTATTTGACTTCCTCCTTACCAACACAGGGGAGCAGGGTTTAGAAAATGAGATTGTAATGAGCTTCCCAATAGCCATGGAACTACCTACACTATATAGGTCTTATGGTTTCATCAATTCTTTCTTTTTTTTTTTTTTTTTACTTTTCTTTCTGTTTTTTGTTTGTTTGTTTGTTTATATTTTTTTTTCTAACACCTTTCATCATCATTCCCAAAGTAGTTTCATCAATTCTTTGGAAAATTTTTCTGACACATATGCCCATTCTGGAGAATGCAAAAAAAAAAAGGCCCCACTCGAAAGTATTAAGAAGATCGTTTAAATCACCTGTGATTCTACCAAGTAACAAAAAACATTTATAATATTTGGTGTATTTTCCTTCCTTCTAGTTATACATATCACAAATTTGTATTATTCTATTTTGTAATTTTTGCTTTCACTTAGTATGTTAAAAATATTTCCTCATACCATTCAAAATAAGGGTTCTAAACCTCTGTATTCTGTTACATTATAATCAACCTAATGTTGAATGCCCCTTTCTAGGAGAAAACACTTTTTTTCAAGTGAAAGTGAAAGGGACTAAATGTGAAGACAGTCTTATATGGCTGGAAAGGGTGGGCAGGACTCCCAGGGAAGGAAATGCGTAAAGGGTGGGTTCTGATTTGAAGGAAGCAGCCCCTACCATCATAGCTAAAAGAGAAAGAAAAGTACAGGGGGAGCTCCTAGAATGGAGTCTACCAGCAAATTCCAGGAGAAGTGATTTCTAATGCTCAGTTTTAAGTTTTCCTTTTTTGTGAAAGGAAAAACTTTTGAGTCACTGGAATCTAGCATTAACATTGCTCTGTGGGTGCTCTCTGGGCATGACTATGAGGACCTCTGCCCCAGTCGGTCTATGTCAGGTTGGGAGTTTGAGGATCTTGGTTTCTAAGCAATTTCTCAATGAAATTTTATCCTGTCACATTGCTGGATTCAAGGAATCTTTTATATCTTTTTTTAAAAAAAATGTAGTTTCACCCTATATTTCATTGCTTTAGAAAGAAAATAGACTGATGGCACGTACTGTTTTAAAGATTACTCTTTTTTAAAGAGGAGAGGAGCTCCCTTTTAAAACAAACCTTTCTCACAGAGAACCCTTATCCTACACAAATGAGTAACCACTCCTATAAGCCAAGGAAGCAATCATTTCAGGTTCTTTTGGTTTTCTTGACAATATCAATGGCCAGTGCGTGGAGCTGTCCAAGGTTTCCCTTCTAGCCCTTTCTGTTCCTGGTCCCTTTAATCATCACACAAAGAGGCAGCGCAGAGTAAGTAGTAAAAAAAACAGCACTGATTGGAGTCAATCTGCCTGAGTTAGAGCCCCAGCAGCAGTATTCGATAGCTGAGTGATGTTGAGCAAGTCATATAACCTCTCTGGGCCTCAGTTTCCTTATCTGTCAAAACAGGAATTATAATACTAGCACCTAACTCATAGATAATTGTGAGGCTTTAATCAGTTACTCTTTATAAAAGTATTTATTACAGCACTTGGCAAATAGCAAAAAAAGGAATTTGGGGTTCTCTAATTTCTATCATAAAAGGATTTTAGACAAGGATTATTTTACTCCTCAGCATTTTTGCTTTTGTAAATATTGCCCTGGCAATCATGAATACAGAATGGGGAGCATGAGGAGGTAGAACGAATGCTCATAGAACTACAACTTAGGGCATCTAGTTCTGGCTCTGTCATTAACCAGCTGTGTGACACTTGTTAACTGATCTCTCTGAACTCAGTTTTTTACTCCGTAAAAGAAAGGGTTTAAACGTCAATAAATAACCTCCATGCCTTAGTGTTCTTTGAATCACATTCCTGGAATCTAAACTGGAAAAGTAATATTTGGCACCTACCATTAATCGGAGGGTGATAGCTGGGAGTAGGCAGGAGACTAGGAAGTCACTGAGTGGCACCGGGAGAACCAGGCCTGATGTATGCCAGGAATCCCAGGCAGAGGGTGACATTGGCACTTCTTTTTGCAGAGCCTAAGCCCTGCCAGACTCACCCTGAGGAGCTGTCACGGTGGTTTGCTGGAAACCCCCTTTCTGTTGGGAGGATTACCGGGTCACGGTCTCCCAAGGACACGGAAAACCTCGCACAAGGGCTGGAGCTGCTCAGGACCCGGCATAAGTTGACGGGAGCTCTGTGAGTCCGCTTTCGGCTGTGTCACCGCTCCCGATCCGCGCTCTAGGAGGGGTCCTCTCTGCAGCAGGCCCAACCCCCCTCCTGGAGTGTCCCCAATGGGTGTCCCCGCGCCGCGTCCCCTCCCTTCTGTCCCGCCCTCCTGGCTGCCATAGAAACCGGCCCACGAGGTCCAGGCCAGCGTCCCCGAGCCGGACCAGCCTCCGTCCCCTCCTCCCCCGGGCCGGCCCCCAGCTCTGGATTGGTCCTTCAGGAAACGCTGCGGGGCGTCTGGGTCCCCTCGGCAGAGCCTGGGCCGAGGCCGGTGGGCGGGGCTTGCCCGGCCGCTGTCTGTCAAGCCGGCAGCCCCTGACAGCTCCGGGAGTCTGAGGCGCCACCGCGGAGCCCTCACACCAGGACACCCAACGCACCGCCCGCGCCTGCTCCGAGTCAACGTCCCCGAGCGCCGGGAGCGGCGCCGCGCCGCAGAGCCCGCGAGCCGGCCTTGCCGCGAAGGTAAGCGAGGGCCGTGGGGCTCGCCGCCAGCACCCCGACCCCGCCGGCCTCTTCCTCTACCAGGCTGCAGACCTGGGTGGCGTTGAGAGGGGGCGCGTGTCTTCCCCGCCACCCGAGGGAGAAAGGGAAACAGAGTTCTGGCAGAGGGTGCGGGTGAAGTGGGGCCAGGAGAGGGTTAGGCGCTCCCTGGGCCCCCCCGCCCCCAGCCCAGGCCCAGCAGCGCGCTAGAGGAGCGACGTTAGCGCCCGGGCGAGGGCGTGCCCGCGCGTGTGCCCCTGTCATGTGCAGCGCCCATGTCTATGTGCGCGTGTGCACCCGCGTTCCTGTATGGTGTGGGCACCGCGTCTGAGTGCGCACCCACGCGTGAGCCGAGGGGGGCAGCTTAGCGCCTCGCCGTGCGCACACTGGGTGCGCGCGACCCAGAGCACAAGTCCAAATCTGCATAGTTTGTATAGTTTGTAACAAGGGCTGAGGATCTGCGTGACCTCCCCACGGGCCGGGGCTGGCGATGAAGGGCACTGACTTCTAACAGCTGTGACCCTGGGGAATGAAAACCCGCCGGCACACAGCACACCACAACGCCCCCGCAAAGAAAGGTACTTCTTTTGAAAGACCGCACGAAGTAAGGGAGAGCCTCTTTTCCTCTTCTGGATATCCCTCCAGGAATATTAGAAGCTCGAGGACTCCACAATGCGACGAGGAAAGGATCACAGCTGGGCCTTTAAAATGTCATTTCTGATCAGTTTCTGCGTGCCTGACAATCTGGGCACGTGGAGCGCTCAAGGCAATAGATAAAGGTGCTCTTAGCTCCAATACGAGCAGCAAAGATTCAGCTATCTGCACTTTTTTCCTTCCCTCCCTTCCTCCTCTGCTTCCTTCTCCCTCTTCCCTCGTCCCTCCTCCTCTTTCTTCTTCCTTTCTCCTCCCCTTCTCTCTCACTTTCTCCCTCGCTCCCTCTCTCCCCCTTCTCTCTCCTTTTTTCGTCCTCCCGAGTATAGTAGACAAGAGAGCTCTCTGTCTACGCACCCTCCCCCACCCCATTCCTCATCCCTTTTCAAAATAAGAGCGAATGAATCACATTCTAAGCTCTCACCCGTGCAATTCAGGCAAGTTTGGAAATTAAACAAATCGCGTTTGCACACGAGGCCGCGGGAATCCAAAAGGGAAACAAACAAAACCAGATGAAAAAAAGTATTCCAAGTTAAGATTTCAAATGAGAATCTAAAATGAGTATTTGTTTATGGAATATGAGTTTTTTAATGATTGAAAAATATGTATCACACAAGCATGTATCATCAGTATTCAATGTGCTTCACAGAAGCACTTCAAAAGATGGTTTCTGTTAGTGTTGCAAAAGCACTTCTAATTTTGGTTGCCATGGTAACTGAAGAAGTCGCCCTGCACTATTGAGAGGTTGCCTGCTGGAACCAGGGACTGTTCTTGAGAGGACTCCTCATGTCCCCTTGTGTCAACATGGTAATAACTGAGCTTATATAAAGGTACTTGGTTTTTTTCCATAATGTACTAAAATCCCAAGGCATGTTGTTTTTTAATTTTATCTTTTCAGAGTTTGCAGTTTGTGCCACAGATCTTCCCTCTCAGACAAATGAGAGTAAACATTGCCCTCCAGCAAGTCAAATAGCCCCAAACAGTCATTACCCTGCTCTCTTCCCACAGCTCACTGCACTAACAGAGGACAGAGGAGAGTATTAGATGTTCCAGGAATCCTGGCCGGGACCCAGATCTCCCTCTCCACTTAGCATTTAAATTTGGAATCCTAATTAGCTTTCTAATTAGGAGATGGGGGAATGTGGGTGGGGGTCCTGTGAGAGAATATTGGAGGAAAAGCTGAGTGTAGCTCTCCACAGACTGGTGTTTGGTATGTTGTTCAATTTGCCTAGTAACCCCTTATGGATTTATTTTTGGCTTGACCACTGTTAAGTGGTTAAGCCTGGAAAAACCTTCAGAGCAGCCTCCTTCTGTGTTAGGAGAAAATGTGGATTAAATATTTGGTTTGAGGTGTGTGTTTTTTTTTCTAATAACTAAACTGCTTTTAAAATAAAAGTGAATTTGTATGAAATCTAACTTCCCCAGTAATAACTACAGATAATCCATAGAGCCCTTTGTGTTTTCAGTCTAGCCTTAAGTTTTTAGTTAAGAAGGCTTAATTTGGGGCAAGGAGCAGTACCATTTAAAATACTTTTATCATCCAGCAAAACACATACTTTCATTGGTAAAAAAATAAATAAGGAAAAAAATAAGAAGAAAGTTTTTTAAAATAAAAGAAAAAAAAATAAAGTAAAATACTTTTATCAGCAAATGTTGGTGGCATTGAAGAACCACAATTCTTTACATATCCATAATTCCTGAGCTTTGAATCCTATAAATCAATTTTACACATTGATAGCATATGATTGGAAAATTTAAAAGCCTCCAGACTTACAGTTTCTTTTGTTTTAGTTTTTGTCTTTTAGAGAGGGGGATCTCACTCTGTTGCCCAGGCTGGTCTCCAACTCTTGGGCTCAAGCTATCTTCCTGCCTCAGCCTCCCTAATAGTTGGGACTACAGGTGCATGCCAGACTTACAATTTTAAAAAGAGAAATGCAAATTTTTTGTCTTAACAAGTTAATGTTTTTAAAGACAGATATAGTTCCATTTTGAGAAACTTAAAAATTGAAATAAATATTAAATCCAACTTCATTTTTTGAATATGATCCTTGTGTTTATCTAGGGATTAAACAGCATTAATTCATTGGCCGATTTTCTTTCAGTTGTTGAAAAGATGAACTTCATAAAATATGTTTCATTCCATAGCTTGTCATTTCCTATTGTCATTGTAGAAGAAATTCTCTAGGATTTAAGTTATAAATTTCAGGAGAAGAAGAAAATATTCAAATTACTTATGAAGATAATAGTCTACACCTTTAAGCACATCACAGTTCTTAAAGCACTTTCTCTCAAGAACTTCAAAATTAGCCCAGCCATTATTATACAGCATCCTGAGGAATGTTAACCAGTTTTACAGATGGGCAAGTTGCATTCAAAAGGCAAATGATTTTAGCTAACCACTTGGACAATTAAGAGATAAAAATCTAAATAGTTTGGCAGATCTATGAACAGGAGCATCAGCCAAAACTGATAAAATAAAGGTGTGAACAGAGATAGGGTGCAGATGGTGGGAAGAATTTAAACTTAGAGAGAAAAATAAAACTTTAATGAAAAAGAGCCTCAAGTGAGGAGAAAAATATTTAGAAAAAGAGTGTAAAAGAGGCTGGGCTCAGTGGCTCACGCCTGTAATCCTAGTACTCTGAGAGACCGAGGTGGGAGGATCTCTTAAGAGCAGGAGTTTGAGACTCGGCTGAGCAAAAGCAAGACCTTGTCATTACTAAAAATAGAAAAATTAGCCAGTGGTCATGGCACACTCCTGTAGTCCCAGCTACTTGGGAGGCTGAGGATCTCTTGAGCTCAGGAGTTTGAGGTTGCTGTGAGCTAGGCTGACACCAGGGTACTCTACTCAGGGTAACAGAGTAAGACTCTGTCTCAAAGAAAAAAAAAATTAAAAAATTAAAATAAAGGTCAATTTCTAATCTGACCTTTGCTCAAAAAAAAAAAAAAAAAGAGTGTAAAAGAGAAAGCACTGAGTGTAAAGTGTTGCACAGAAGAAAAAGCAAGTTGCACAATAGGGAACTAAAAAGAACTTTACTCTTCATCTTCCACAGAGAACATTGACACTTGTTCAGAAAGCCCTAGGTACCCTATTTAGCAAAATCCTGTAACTTAGAGAATCCCTGAGAGATCTGAGCAGACCTTAGTGCATTTGACTCCCTGCCACCTGTCCCAGTGGTGTGGGCTGAGGCAGCTTTCCCATCTCCAGGTCTGCTGAACTAGCTGCTCACTAGACCTTTTCTGTTCAATCCTTAGGCCAACCAAGAAGTTTTCTACATCTCTATTTGTTGGCATTATTTGGTTGGGATAATATATAGACTTGATTATGTAATTGTATCTTAAATTCTTTTTAATTTTAAAAAAGTGTTATATTATTATCAAAATAATATATTCATCTAATTTTATGAATCAGAGCATATTTAAAAATTATAACTAAAATACAGTGCCACACTCCAGGTATAATTACTTTCTTGGGTGTTTGATCTCTTACCTCCCTGTGTCCAAATAATTAGCTTATGTTACCAGTTCTTGATTTATCAATTTTAGACAGAATCTGATTATAGATGAGGATATAATTCTCTTACACCACCTCCTCCCACTTCCTCCATTTTTGCAATATAATGTTTGGAAGGAAATCAGCCGGAGCACCATTACCAAAGCTCTATTTAC